TTTTTCATTTTTTTCAGAGACATAAATCTTGCAATTGTTAAGTTTTAAAGCAAGAACTTACCTCTGCAAATAAAGGGGATATAACCGTAGACAGACATTGGGATAGGGGCCTCTTTGGGATATCCTTTTCCTTTAAAGAAAACAAAATTCTGACCAACTTATTTTACTGGAAAAAAGCATCCTCATTTTATTCTAATTAAAGACAAACATGCTACCCTTTATGAAAAATCCGTTTCAATATACGTATATATATACAAAAGGCTGAATTTAAATTTGAGGTTGTACCACCTCAAAGACATGCAAGCTCAAAATCAGAAGGTGAAGAAAACTCACAATCCTACTTAGCATGTACTAACTCACAGACATGCTGATATTTACTAGGTTCCTCCCATATGATACAATATTATTCTTATATTTGTCCAGACACAGGCACATTCTATTCTTTGCTACATCGTGGTCTTTGCCCTAAAAGACCAAAATGTCTTCCCCAAAACTAGTTTTTGTTTACCATATAGAAGGAAGATTTTAAAAATACAATATTGCCTGGTCTTCCTCCAGTGGTAATATTTCACAAACTAGAGAAATATTAAGGTACGTATTTTGTCAACTACAGGAAAAGGGCACATTTACAGAATACCCAAACTTCAATGCTTACTCAAAGCGTTTTGTGAAAGGCAAGTGTAGCACATACATTTTTAGCAAAAGTTTTGAAAGTTTCACAATTTAAATGCTTTTAAAGGCATAAAATAAAAATCACCCCACTAAATTATTAAAGCAAGAATTATCTCCTTGTTTTATGAAGTCAGTACTTTGAGCACCTTGTTTCTTTGCAACTCCAAAGGCTGGGCTGCTCCATTCTCTAGATTCTTGGGGTCTTTTTCTCTTATTGTAAAGATCCACTCCTCTGAATCACTCCCACCTGAAGCCTGACCATCTGCTTCACTTCAAGGGAAGGAAAAAAAAGAAATACATAGATTTTATTACCTACACCTTACCTATTGATGTTCATTCAATATACATGCTAAAGATAAAAACTACAGTCAAGACCAAGATCGGATTCTATTGTGCAGGCCACTAAGTATAAAGAAAAGTATGAAAAGTAATGTAGTTTATCTTCTGGGTAAATTAAAAAAAAAAAACCAACAAAGATACTTCATTAAATGTAAGGAAGCGAGGCTGTAAATTTCCCAAGTTCCATTAACAAATAACATGAAGTGTTTCATTGCTATCTGAAAACTGGCTTTAGCAGAGTACCTCAAATCATTAGGGAAGAAGGGGGAAGAAGAGTACAAGGATTAGAATTAGAAAACTAATTCACTATTTTGGCTTAGAAAAATAGCTAAGACACTAGCTTGGAACACCTTTGTGGAAGACCATTCATCCCAGCCCATGAGCAAGGTAAATTTTCCATTTAAAAAAAATTGGCTTAAAAATACAGATATAGAGTGGCTTTAATAAACTACATTACCATCAATCAATCTTTTGCCTCACCGTTTGTGGATGGCACAGGAATTTTTTCAATAACTCCTGCTAAGTTAAAAGAACAAAAATATTTATGCTAACACTAATCAATCACTGTGACAAATTTCTCATCTCACTACTATAAATATCCTTCCTAAGTTCGTTTCTTTCTGATTTGTGAATTAAGCATGATCTGCGAGAAAACCACCAACTGAAAGGGCATCTAGTGGCCATTGTATAAAAAGTATTTAGTGCAGTCTACCAAGTCAAAAGGCACGCAACCAGTGTAAGAAAATTCTCCAAGATTTCTGCTTCAAGTCATACAGAACATCTGTCTGTCACTGAAAGAGGTGGGTCTACCTTCCTTATATACATTAGCTCTAGCAACTTGATCCAACAGAAGAAATATTTATTGATTTGAAAAATTAGTATTCCAGCATGCCAAATCAACTCACCCTTTTATCACATCTAATGCAAGGAGTGCTGTGAAAGCAGAGGAGGGGAATCCAGGCTTAGACAGAATGATAAATTGTCTCACAAGCCCTCAATAACAATTCTAGTTCCACTACTCTCCTATACCAGGCTATCAAAGTTGGTCTGATATTCCACAGGAACAATGAACTGTAATCTCAAAGTTCTGTTAATAACTGATCTGAGAACAGTTTTAGGACTAGTAACTAACCTTCCAAATTAGCCTTGATTTGGGGCTCAAACTGTGGTCACTGGAAGGCACGAAGCCATTATTATGTAAACAAATATAAAGCTGTAATGTCACCCAAGAAAAGAACAGCCTGATGCTTGCCATTAGCATGTGGCCTGGAATTTCAGAGAATAGTCATGTTTTCTTTATTATGAGCAATTTAATGCATTTGTGAATAAGTTGTGGCAGCCTCTTCACTTGATTTTCATTTGCACAGTGCTACTTGGCTTTGCAGTGTGAGATCTTCTGCTTGCACAACAGCTGGCCTTATGTCTAGGAAGGACCCTAGACCCCACATAAAAGAGAAGGTAGTATAGAATATGGGCCAGAAGAATTGTTCTCAGTGACTGTTACTTGCATGAAATCCCTTGCAATACTGAAATTAAGATTTTGTTAGTTTACCAAGGCTGCTAGCTGAAAAGCTAAAAATAACAGAACACAGGAATGTATGTGCTAAAAATAACTACTTGGCTCCTGTATTTACAAAGGATATTTTACAGACTCCTCAAACTTACGTATCCGAGTCATCAGAACTGGAGTCATCGTGACTTTGTTCAGACTTCCATCTCTTGTGCCTATCAATGAGGTCAGTCAGATAAGAAGTTTTCTTTGAGTTTCGTAAAATGAATTTGTGTTTTAAGAGCTCTTTTGCAGTAGGTCTCTTAAAAAAAAAAAACAACAGAGGGGGTTTTTTTTATGCATTTGAGAGTGTTAAGTGACTCAACATAAAAACGCAAAGAAATCCATACTTCAGTCTTGATACAAATGAGATTTTAAATACATACAGTATCTAAAAAATATGTCACATATGTCACACCGTATTAGAAAAGATGAAAAGCACTTACTCATGTAATTCATATAAACCAGTCAAGTTCTCTACTATACACTGACAAACAGATGAAACTCACAAAGCATGGGTCCTTGTTTAAGCAGGCTTCAACAAATTCTTTGAGGGATTTACTGAAGTTTCCTTCCAGTGTTGGTGGATTGTTCTTAGGAATGAGGAACAAAACCTTCATTGGATGTAATTCTGAATGAGGTGGCTCTCCTTTTGCAAGTTCTATGGCTGTTATGCCTAATGACCAAATATCTGCCTGTAAGAAACAATGCTTTTAACATTAGGTTGGAGAAAGAGAAGAAACACTGTTGGCTTGCTATCCTAGTTTAACCCAGTGCCACACAACTGCTTGATCACACTATCCCCCAACTGGATGGGGGCAAGGGAGGTAGAGAATTTGAAGGGTGAAGGTGAGAAAACTTGTGGGTTATAAACAGCTTAACAACTGAAATAAAAGGACAATAAAAATAAACGGTAATGAAGAAGAAAATAAAGAGAAATAAAACCCAAGAAAGGCAAGTGAAGTAAACAGAAACAACTGCTCACCACCAAATGACAGATGCTCAACCAGTCCTTGACCAGGGGACCCCACCCCGCTTTCCCCCCAGTTTTATTACTCAGCACGATGCTATACGCCATGGGCTATCCCTTTGGTCAGCTGTGATCAGCCGTCCCAGCTGTGTCCCCTCCCAACTCCTCGTGCACCATCAGCCTGCTCACTGGTGGGGTGAAAAGCAGAAGAGGCCTTGACTGTGTGCAAGCACTGCTCAGCAACAGCTAAAACATCCCTGTGTTATCAACACTATGTCCAGCACAAATGCAAAACACAGCCCCATACCAGCTACTGTGAAGAAAATTAATTCTACCCCAGTCAAAACCAACACACTTGTAAAGGTAGATTTTTAAGCTTTACTGTAAATAATTTCATAAGTAAATTGGTTCTATGTGGCTAACCACATAAAATAAACAGCATAAAACAGTTCTAATAAGCAGAGTTTTAAAACTTTTTGAAATCAATACTATTGCAGTTATAACGGATCTTGAAACACAGATATTTTCAAAAACCAATGGTAGAGTTTTTATAAACTAGCATTTTATCTATCATAGTCAAGCACACTATGTAAGTATGAGTCAAGTTTCAAATATTCACATACAAGAAAACATTATAACATGCACAAGATTTTTTCTTAATATGCATTAGCTAGTATAAGCATCAGAAATTTAATACATTAGGAAGTAACCTCACTAGGGTTTAACAGTATCTTATATATGACTCTTATTCACAGACTAGAGAAATCCAGTCTTGAACAGTATTATTCAACTTTTTCAGCCCAAGTTTTGGTCCAACTAGCCTCTGAAAGTTTTCATCATCAAAATGTGTTACTCTTTTCAGTGAATGCTGTCTCCCTCAACACAAATCCTATTGCAATCTGCCTGAAGTAATGTGAAGTAACTCATTATTATTCTCTATGTTCAGCTGAAATCACACACCCAAAAGTCAAGAGAATGGATGAATAAACCCATCAAAAAGGTGAAAGAATACCAATTAAAAATTTTTATGTTTTGGTGTTTTTCTGTTTCTTTTTAAGTGAAAACAGAACAAAGACTTATTCTCAGGAAAACAGGAAAGATCTGATGTGAACTGTCTGGTTTCACTCCCAAACAGACCATTTGGAACTTTGCTATGTTGTAAACAGTAGAGATTTCATTTAACGCTGCTGTTCTTACTAAGTATCCCCAAAATTCACCTGTGTCTGCCCTGTTGATACGCATGGTTATCTTTGACTAACTCATACAGGACCACGAGCTGATAGCTGCAATGTACACATCCATTCCACCATCACAGCTACAAGGCCTGACTCAAAACAATCTTCTCCTTCCTTGTTCAGACAGTATTCTACCGTTAAGAGCTTAGTTACTTAATTTTGCAAGTAAGTATGAAAAAATAATTAGACTCAATTAGCATACCATTGAATTTATGAAATGGCATTTTGTTAGCACGTTACAGAACAGTTCCCGAGCACAAAGGATTACATAAGCATTGAGCCCTGAGTTTCATTTATCTTTATAAGCGCATTGTCAGCTAAGTTCTCCTCAAGTCTAATTGTGAGTAACTTCCCTCTAGCAGGAAAGCTTTCCTTGGTTATGAAAGAGAAATGTCACCTGGGAAGATGAGTCTTAATGTTAACTACTGAGCATTATTATTTCCAACTTATTCGGAATTTCAGTTTCTTAAGAGGAAAGTGTTAAAGCCATATAAACGGATAAATTTTCTTCTGCCAGACTTTCAGTCACAGGTGGAGCACATGTATATAACATAAGCATAAACATCAAATTTACATGTGTATGAGTGCATAGATATCCACTCGCACACACACATATGTATATAAATACTTTCTTTTTTCCTCTTATAACTCTCTATTGCTAGTGCCCTTCCTCCACAAAAACTAATGAAAAAGTTCACCAACTATGGCTGTACACTGAGTTCTTTGAAGTCCAAGATGGGTTTTGGAAGCCCATTCCTGTTGAAAACATCAAAAATAACTCCTCCAAATTCCTCTGGAATCATATCTTCTCCTTTCACAGACAAAAAAGGATCTCAAAACAGTATGTAGCAATCACGTGTCTCCAAGTTTCTAGGATGCGCTTGACTGTGTCAACGAAACTCCAGAACAAGCACAAATCAGTCCTCCAAATGGAGAGGGATAAGCATGACCTTCAGAAGTGATGGCACTATATCAGCACTAAGTTTTACCACATGTTATGATTTTTACAGCTTCAAATCTTGAATAAAAACTCTTCTTCCAAGTTCAAATAAGAGTCAGCAAGTCACTGGTAACTACTATTTATTGCAGTACTGCCATGAGCCTCTCCTCTTCTACTTACTAAAATTCAGTCTGACTTTGAAGCTCTTGAAAGTCAAAGAAAACAGGTTATGTGCAAGAGAAAACCATTTTAAAATTAAATATCTATTTTTCTATTACAAGTTACCTAGTAGAAATGACAGAGAACTAGATATGGGAAAACTGAAGCAGGTAAGAAAACCTGCTTTCAGATGAAGAAAGGAATCAAAACCCCTTACACTTGGGAACTAGGAGGATTCAACAGGGCCAAGAACAAAACGGAAACACAGCAGCTACATAATGGAACTTGCTTGCACCTCTCTGAGACGATGATATGAAGAGGACAGTCCTGCTTAAAACCTCTCAAGAATGGCCAGCTTATGGAAGGAGAATGAGATTAGCTTCGGATGTCTGTGTTCTCACATATGCATAAGGCTATCCTAAAATAAACAGGCCTTCTCAAGCTTTTATTGCACAGCAAACTATTGTATGTGCAATTTAATCTGTTCTCTAAGTGCCAGAACGTGCACAGATGCATATAAACATCTCTAGTTCACTCAAAACATGAGCTGTGGCTTTCTAGAGAACTCATCAAGTATCCAAGACCTTTTTATGTCCATGTGGCATTGCAGACTAAAACAACCAGAATGCAAAACATGAGGACTCAATCATGCTTTGTGCAACTGATGATCATTCCCAGGAGCCAAACCTGATGATGACCACTCTGCTAAATCAAAATCCTGTGTACAGATCAATTGGATATTAAACATTAAGCCCACCCTGTATGGCATATCTAAAAGAACATGGTCAGGGTAGCATAGACCTATGCAGCACATTCTTCCACAGGTGAATAACAGCACTTTTAAACAACACTTTCACACCCACTAAATCCATATTCTTCAACAGTGTTGCTGACTATTTTTTTTCTAACAACAAGTAGAAGAATACTATCATTTTGTATATATTTGTTCTTTTCCACTTTTAAATAGCCAAAAATACTCATCAATAGGGTGGGATAAAAGGTGATGGGATGTACTCATCAATACTGTATTATTTCTTGCCATCTGGATTGGCTTAATAAACTAGGAAACTTAAAGTTTGGATACAAATTAGGAAATCTTTCCTCACCAACAGCTTTTAGCTGCTAGGTATCATCTAAACACAAACTCATCTAGACACAGCCAAAGTTATTAGCTACATTCTGAAGACCAACCTATGTAATTCAAGTTAGTAAAGGACGGGACTTTGGCTAATACCTTGAAATACCTTACCTTTGAATCATATGCCGATTGCTTTATTACTTCAGGTGCCATCCAAAATGGTGTTCCCACAAAGGTGTTCCTCTTTATCTGTGTATCTGTTAGTTGTCCTGCTACTCCAAAATCTGCTAGTTTTACTTCTCCTTGTTCAGACAGCAATACATTAGCAGCTGGAATAAAGAACAGGAAATAGCAGATATGAAGACATTTGACACTGTAAGGGTGTTCCTTTACATTGCATGAGCTGTTCTAATATTCTTTCAGTACAGTTAAAAAACAATTTACCTTTAATATCTCTGTGGATTTTCTTTTCTGAATGCAAGTAATCAAGTCCTTTGAGGATCTCCCTCAATATTGTAGCAATCTGGGTTTCATCAAGTGAGCCAGGTTCTAACTAGGAGATGCAAGGAATGTGTAAATATATTTTAAAAAGGGAGAAACAGAGAGAACAGAAATAACACTGTGACTATAAAAAGAAATTACTCCTTTTGTTATCCCTCAAAACCTCAGTTTGCTAACTTCACAATGTGAGACAAAACAGAATATTCTTTTTAAAAATACACAGTTCTAAACTAAGTGGCCTGGTGAACAACATGCAAAGAAATAATTTATCTAAAACATTTTTTAAAGTTTGTTAAAGGTGCCATAAGGACAGTTATTGCTTTGTGGTCAGGTTACGGATATAAACACTGCTTTTGAAAAGCATCTATATTGTAATCTGATTATTAACATTACACTGAACTTAGATATGCAACCCCACATCACCTATGTGGACCCAAATCTCAAAGCCCAAGCAAGAAACTAAGGCATATAAGTTACTACACCAATCACACAGTCTATGACTACATACTGCATTGGATTTTGTGAAACTCTCTAAAACACAACTCAAGCCAGTAGACTGACAGAATATTACATATCTTAAAGTGTTAACTTTTTTCATATAAAACTCAAAGTATAGATCTGCTAATTGGTAGAATCAAAGGCTCCAAGTAATTATTTTTATTAGATGAAGCAGTAGCAGAGTTCTTTACATCTGATATAAATTCTAAAAGTGAGAATACCACTAACTCTAAACAGACAGAGAAAAGGTCACTACACTCAGAGAGGTTTCTTAACCAATAAGGGCATTTCAAGAGAGACACTGAAACTTTGTGTCCAACAATTAAGATTGGAAATATTCCAGTGTTCTAATTTACTCCACAATAGCAGTCACGGAAGCACAATCAAAAGGTTCTATCTCTAAAGCTTCACTCTGTGAGAAGGAAAGCATTTAAGACAAAAATTAGAAGTAGTACATCCCTCAGAAATCCTCATCTATTACATAGGAACAGACATAGTATTTCATTTCATATTTGCTTTATCTTTGTAGCTTTAATTATAATATTTTTTGCTTTTCCTTAGCTTTAATAATACACATGATATTACTACTCCCTGAAATCCACTAAGACATTCTCAAAGCTTTGCTCCAGCCAGGCTGCAAGCACCACTTCAAAACCTGGTAACGTGATACATCTAATGGGGGAAAACCTCTTATGTCAGATGTCAGCTCAACTTAGTGAGGAGGAAGTTATTGAAAATAGACCAAGTCTGAGAATATTGGCACTTGTACCTCAGTCACAAACTTCAATTATACTCATAGCTGAACAACAATGTACAAAGTTGCATTAAATGTACTTTGTCTTGTGAGGCGTGATTTTCAAAACAGCCAGTGCATATTCAAGAACAGAAAACACCAAGCTAGCATGACATGTCTACACTCAGAACATGGAATCCAAGGTGCCTTGAGTATGGAAAAATGGCAAAGTGTGCCAGTTGTCCTACCAGATTCCAGTTGAAAACCGTAATGTGCATGTTAGAACTAGGAACATAAATTGAAAATTAATGAATCACACAAAAGGTGCTTAATTCACACTTACATGATGATTTCAGTTCTGTGGTGCAATTTCTTCAATAACACTTTAAAATGTAACCACAGACTTTGTACTATTTCTAGGCAACAAACTTAAATAAACACATGGTTATCACATAAGTGAAACGCGTGTGATGAAAAAGCAAAAGAGAAGAAAATATGGTAACATTTGTTTTTTTGTTCTGCTCTTTTATATCTATAGAAAGAGAGTAATAATTAATTTATAAAAGCAACCCCAGTTTCTAAATGCTTTTCTGTCAGGGAAAAAAAAAGCGATCACAACCATAAATAAACTTTCTTTATCGTATCTTTATGGGGAACATTATGAATTTGTACACAATGACAGAATTCCTTCTAACAGATGTGGAAACTAAAGGTATAAATGGGTTTGAAAATGCACAACTGCAGGAAGTTCACATTTAATATCCTCTCCTGTCTTCTGGATGCCACCAGCAGAATCCCTTCAGACTAGCCTTTTTCCTTTCACTCTTTCCTCAAGCAAAATTAGTTGCCCCATTTGACAACTGCAAACTATGCTACAGGGACATTCTGCCTCTACTGGTATAACAATTTTCACATACTTAAAACATCCATTGTTATTTCTACTATTTAAATCCAGAATAAATATAAGATGGTGTGTGATTTGGGAGGGGGTTTGGGTGTTGGGTTTTTTCAATAGCTAAAGTGAATGACAGCATCCTGTCACAGAAAACACACTCCGCACTGAACCTTGGGAATTCTAATTCAAAACTGGGTCCGTCCCAGGTGCAGAATGAAGCGCTTTGCTCTTGTTAAATTTCATACGGTTCATGATTGCCCAGCCCTCTGGTCCATCCAAGGCTCTCTGTAAGGCCTTTCTACTCTCACTGGAGTCAACAGCTTCTCCTACTTCTTTGTAATATTTTTCCAGCCTAAACTGTATTTCTGTCTATTTAGGTTTCAGCAAGACTTCAAACAGGGAATCTTTTGTATGATTGTTTGGGGAAGCGGGTGGTGGGGATGATACTTTAAAATGTATACACTAAGAAGGGTTGTGGTGGCAGAATTAAGAGACAGAAAAAACTATTTTCAATCACTAGTGCTCTCTGGTTGACTGAAGATTAGCACTCTAAGATGTTTATATCCTGCTTCCAATATTATATTGCTTAGTTCCCTTCCATTTATATAAATAATCAGTCGTGCCTCATGGAAAATAACATTTTTCTGGCATTGACAAATACTTTTCTCCTTTACTGAAAGGAAACATTGCCACAGCCAAATGACCTTTTATACTTTCCAGAATTATAAGATAAGAAAATAATTATCTGAGGTAAAGTAACGAAAGCCCATGCATTATTTACTTACTAGATCAAGGGCAGAGCCTCCACCCAGATATTCCATTATTATCCATAATTTTGTATCCTGCAAAACAAACAAAAAAAAATGTATATAAGTTTAAAAAAAAAGTAGTAAGTTAATGGGACTTGTTCCATTCTTTTTGCTTAAGAAAGCATCTGTAGTTTTGAAACACCACTAACATTTAGCTGTTTCTCAATAATATCTTTGGACTGTTTACTCAAGAGTGCATGCATCTCCATGCATGTGTGTTTTCAATTTAACTCTGTTCCTCTAAATTAACAAGAAGAAAGGTACTTCCCATTTACCAACGCGTAGGAACACAGAAGCTCATTGCTTCCAAGTAACTGATGTATACTTCATATCACACCCAAACTCACTTCATGGTACCTCTTTTGTACTGATACTAATACTACTAGAATATAGACAGTATCCAGGGAAGAAGAAACTTCTCTTCAATCCCTACCAAAGAGTCAAGTAGCAGAAGGAAACCTCTTGCCTTTATGCTGACTAGAACCGTCCAAGCATTCTGAGCATATTAACTCCCAAAAGCCACCCACGTCCTTATCCTTATGACATTCCTTTGTGCATTTTGCAAAAGTGTCTTCTGAGACAAGAAAGATACGGACAGAGGCACTCAATGAAAATGTAGGAGAATACATTTTCATTTAAAAAATCTGATTACAGACATCCCAAATAACATTCATGTTACATAAAACATATTCATTTCCTTAGAAAATGTCTTGATTTTGTTTATAATCTTTATTTGTACAGATACTCCATACTATTTTCTTTAACAAGCCTAAACCCCATCTAGGTCAAATTTAATTTAGAATTTATTCTTCACATTTCTACATTGTTTCACTGTCTTGAACAGCAATCTGTCTCTGACCTAGCGAAGAATACCTGTAAGTTTTCTCCACTAATGCTTACGCAGTTGATATATGGTACGGAATTTTGAACAACTGTGTTCAAGAAACATGAAGCCAAGTAGTAATAAAGATTATTTAAGCTGACTACAGCAATTTACTAGCTCCAGTTAGCAAAATAAAAGCTAACAACAACATCAAGCTACTACATTCCTAGAGGAAAGCTTGCTATATATTACACGTCTGTTCAACACAAGATACACAATACAAGACAGAGAATGGACCCAATCATTTCTTTCTACTCTTTGCAGCATCCTATTCCCAAATACACTAAAAGAAGCAGTTCACCTTTTCCTTGCAGTACCAGCCTTGATAAAGCAAGGCCACAGATCTATCAAAAACATATTCAAATGAAATTGCTGCACGGAACATACTGGGTTTTGGTTTAGTTTTTATGATAATCAGGTTAGATTAAGCTTTGTTAGTTTTAACTCTGTGGTATGTACCAAACTTTCACAAGACTTCTAGCATAAAAAAATAACTGTCTGTCAGAGCAAGGAGCACATAAATAGCAACAATATTCATTTACTTTATCCTACAGAATAAAACTTCATGTAAAAATAACAGCTCACAGCCAAGGCAGCTTAGAGTCTGAATACTCATCTATAAAGATGGATTAAAATTTTTAGAAAAGTGATAAATGTATTATAGAGCGTAACTTCTAAATCCCCTGGGGGATTAAAATTTTAGCCCTTAGGACTCACTAACACTTTTTAGTCATTATTACATTTGCAGTTCCACTGCATCTGTCCCCTCTCTCATCTCAGAATGCACCTTTTTTCTACCTCCAGTTATATATATTGTACTATTTCTAGGTAAGACCCTGGATCGGGTTCCTTCATCATCCACCGTTTTTAACATACAGATTCAGCTAACGTTAGATACCTTTCTTCAGGAATCAACTCACGTTATTTGACAAACACAGTCTTGTTAAAAACATTTTAAAAAAGCCGGAACACATTTTTTAGGAAGAGTCATTAAAAAATATAATCTATCTCAGTATCTACATCTTGATGCTTACTTTCTGCAGACACCACGGATATTTCAAGAACTGTAACTCATCTTGAGACAGTCCCCTGCAACACTGAAATACTTATTTTGCTGCTAAGAGTTTTTCAGATTTTACCTGTCCCTTCAAGGCTCCAGGTCCTAACAGTTTCAGAACAAGAATGCTTCTGAGAAGTGTCATATAGTAAGTCATTTCATCTTCAGAAATCTTACTAAATTTGATCAAAATTTTAAATATATATTTTGCTTCAGTATGATAAAATGTCTTTTAAAGCTGCATGAAATTTCCTGAATATTCAAACTTCGTGACCGCAAAATTTACATTTAATTTTAATAATAACTTAAACACAAACATGTCAACTGTATCACTACCTTTTAGTTCACTGGAAATGCCTGGGTGGGAAAGAACAAGATAGAACAAATAAAATTCCTCACCCTCTCAAAAAAAGGCAAAAAAACTCACCAAAAAACCAAAAACAAACAGAAGAAAGAAAGAAAAACAAACATCCACAACACCACCTCACCTAGAGATCAACAAGAGATGCATCTTCCCTTTTCTATTACCTCAATTACCTCATGATTTTAATGAGCTAACAACTTGAAATAAAATATAGTTTCCCAAAAGAGAAACTCTCCATAACACTAGCTACTAAATTCCCCAGCTGAAAATTAGAAATTAGAGGCAGAAAATAACGAACGAAAATATTTAAGGATATAATTTTAATTACATAGTTACACAATCATGTAACACAATTACCCAACTACAAGTTATATTATTCATAGTCTTTTTAAATCATCATTTATCCTTTCAATTCTTTTTCTAGTTTGCTTAGTCTTTGCTCCTGAAACTTTCATCATCAACTGCTTCGGGCCATATGTCTGAATTTACAATAAAAAAGCCATGGATCCAGTACACTCAAGTAATTCTACATTTGAAAACAAATGAAGTATGGATATGCAGTTAAGAAACACACACAACTGTATCTGTATCCCACTGTGCAGCTAAGTAATAGCAATCTATTACAATCATGGCAACTTTTTATCTGTAGTCTTAGATTCAAAGTCATTTTTAGTTTCCTATGGTTCCTCCATGCCACAGAAATATTACTCAACTTTATTGATGTTTTGGGGGCTTTTTTCAGTTTTCATCATTCATATGAAGATTCTGAACAGATGTCATAACTATGGTAGCAAACCTTACTATCACCTTTCACTAATTCTTGCTGGATTTTTTGGTTTTTTAGCTTTCTTATTTAAAATCTGCATACATTGGTTAACCAAAAGACACAAATAAATCATTTTGGTGAGACAGTCGTAACAAATTTTTTAATATATATTTCATCATAGAGACAACAACCTACATATACCGACTTTATGCCTGTTGTGGGTTGGATGCGAGGTATCCCCCAGAACCACTCTGTCACTCCCTTCCTCAGCTTGGACACAGGAGAGAGAATACAGTGAAAGGCTCACGGGGTCAGGTAAGGACAGGGAGAGATCATTCACCAGTTAACCTCATGGGCAAAGTAGACTCAATTTGGGGAAGTTAGTTTAATTTATCACCAGTCAAATCAGAGCAGTATAATGACAAATCTTAAAACTCAAATCTTAAACCTTTCCCCTGCCCCCTTCTTCCTGGGTTTTCACTTCACTCACAGTTTTCTCTACCTCTTCACCCCCAGAGATACAGAGGGACAGGAAATTATCATTGTGATCATTTCATCACACATTGTCTCTGCTGCTCTTTCCTCCTCAGAGGGAGGACTCCTCACAATCTTCCCCTGCTCCAGTGGAGTCCCTCCCACAGGAGACAGTCCTCCACAAACTTTTCCAGCTTGAGTCCTTCTCATGTGCTGCAGCTCTTCACAAACTGCTCCTGCACGGGTCCCTTCCATGGGGTGCAGTCCTTCAGGAACAGGTTGCTCCAACATGGGTCCCCCGCAGGGTCACAAGTCCTGCCAGCAAACCTGCTCCAGTGCATGCTCATCTCTCCACAGGGCCACGGGTCCTGCCAGGAGCCTGCTCCAGTGTGAGCTTCCCACAGGGTCCCAGCCTACTTTGGGCACATCCACCTGCTCTGGCACGGGGTTCTCCATGGGCTGCAGGTGGATTTCTGCTCCCTCATGGACTGCCATGGGCTGTAGGGGGACAACCTGACTTACCATGATCTTCCCTGTGGGCTGAAGCAGTATCTCTGCTCCAGCACTTGGAGCACCTCCTCCTCCTCCTTTTTCACTGACTTTGGGGTCTGCAGGGCTGTTGCTCCCACTTATTCCCACTCCTCTCTCCAGCTGCAGTTGTGAATTTTTTTCCCCCTTCTTAAATCTGTTTCCCAGAGGTGCTGCCACAGTCATTGATGGGCTTGGCCTTGACCAGCGACGGGTCTGTCTTGGAGCTGGCTGGCACTGACTCTATTGGACACAGGAAAAGCTTCTGGCAGCTTCTCACAGAAGCCACCCTTGTGAGTCCCGTGCTACCAAAACCTTGCCATGCAAACCCAATATAATGCCTTGTAACAACAGCACAAGGCAAGTAGAGCGCTACTATCAATTGACTTTGGCATCACCACAGCAACAGGCCTCCTTCTTTCCTTCTTTTCTCAGTATCTCTGGCATGCTTCACATTCCATAACACCTACTGTCACTTTCCTTTTTAAAGCTGCCCAAATTCTTTTTTTGCCTGAACTTTTCACTTTCTTCTGTATATATTTCCCACTTTTGCTCTCAAAAAGAACACTAAAAGCACTAAATTTTCTTCCATAGCCTAGATGAGTAATTATATATTACACATAATCACTTATATTTTGAAGAAGATACTACATTTATATACTGACACCAGCAACATTCAGTGCTCCATTTTAAGATCTGAAATAGGACCAGTTTTCTTCTTTTATGCATCAGCCACAACATAGCACTGAATTTTCTTCCAAACACAGTGAAGCCAGGTGAGTCATCAATCCAAATTTAGAATTATTATTTCTCTATAAGCTTAGATGAGCACATTAATGAGGGCACGTGGAACATTGCCTTTTTCACAGTAAGAAAAAGAGGTTTTCCTCTGATGCCATGAAACTGAGATAACTAACAGCTTTGGAATCTAAAAGAACTTCTGTTACAAAAAGACAGTTTC